TTGGGAATGGAAAAACAGTAGTGGCCATATGACAGGGCTGCTGTGTAGAGTGAAGTTAATGAGTATATGTGGCCTGCATCGTGTGTAATAATGGTTAGACACTGTTGTAAGTTCATCTGTACATGCTCCTGTCAATTGAATTCTTTTAGAACAGTTCTGAATTAAGAAAATTACTTTCCTGAACCATATCTGCCATGAAGTTCCTGCCATTTTAGGCACAGAAGGTACTATAAAACTTGGTCTAGAATGTAGACATCCCTTGACTTAAGAAAGTGTTTCACCTCAATAAACCTATTGTGAAATATAAGCTGAAAACACATTTAGTATACCTAATGTTTTGAATAACTTGGTTTATTCGTGGATGTAATGTCCTCAGGGCTACCTCTACTCGTGTAGAGATTCTCTACAGAAATAAACTATTTCAGGTGAGAGACAATAATGAGGGTTAAAGATAAGAAATAAGAAGTAAAGAAACACTTCCCCATTTTAAATACGAAGCATTCAATTAAAAGCTATATAATGGGAAAGCTGAAACAGCTTTAAACACATACTAACTGTGAGCCCTGATAATGATACTGTGTAGTATTTATGCTACCTCTTGACAAGTATGAAATACGGTAACTCCGGTTTGTGTCAATTTGGAATGTACAGAGACAACACTACCACCAGGAAATAGGAATGCCTAGCAAACAATATGGATAGAACAAAATGTAGAAAAGATCTCATGTGATGTTACATATAAACTAATATAAAAATGATAGACTCCAGAAGTGATGTTTATGTTGGAAAATATACAAGTTTATAAACAGCTTTCATTTGGTTGCTTCCATACAATGCAAAGCTCACACCTTAAAGTGTTCCATGGACGGTTAATTAGAAACCAATTACAAATTCACAAATATGTTTATTTTTAGGCTGGCTCATTATTCATCTTTCTGAGGAACAGGCATACGCACAAGTCTTTCTAAAGCGATACTCCTGTCTTCCAACTATGGTGCTGTTAGATTTCATGAGCACCTCCATATTTTTTTCTGAAAAGAATCCATAAACTATCAACAAGGGCTTAAGTTAAAGAGAAGCATCTGCACACTTGCTAAGTTGGAGAGGCAGACGTTGGGAGGGCAATTAAAATTCTCCTGTCTTCAGAGAATACCTAAATATATGGCTTCCATTTTTAAAGCTTCCAAAAGAAGTGATTCCAAAAGCACTATCTAGCCTTAAGCTCGTCTCACTAGACTTTTTAGTTACATGGGCTTTTCTTTCCAAAGACCCAAAAAAAGGTATGACACTAAGTCCTCTTTACCTCAATTTTTTCAGTTGCTTTTATGAGAAAAATCCTCTGCTGGGTGGGGGGAGTCATCACAGTGGTGGAAAATTGTGCTTTTGGTGTTGAGTGTGCTAATGAAAATGACCAGGCTTGAAGAACACAGGATATTCTTTGTGTAACCAAGATATAAATACTGTACTCCCTAATCAAACAACTAAAGTATAGACAGAGATTGGACTTAAACATGCAAATTATGGTGCTGAGAAGTTTCATGGCAAGTCACTCTACAATCTCATTTTATGAATAAGGGCATGAAGTCCACAGAAATCATGTTACTGCACAATATTTATGATGCTACTTAGTATCAAAACCAAGACTAGACCTTCAATTTTGACATCTGACTCAGTTTTATTATGATACTTGTATATGTTCGGATACTATGTCTACTATTTTTACTCAGATCATTAATTCCTCCATTTCTCCTGGTTGAATGTCAATAATTTATTTTCAGAATGCAACAACAATCCTGTTATTCCAACTTTTTGCTCAGGGCAGGGCCAGGGATAGACCAAGAAGAGAGGTGGGCACTGGTTTTGTACATGACAGAGCTTGCAGGGAGCAAGGCCAAATGCATGATCCCAGTGACACACACTCGGATAGAGAGCAAGGAACTCTGCAATACTGGTTTGGACACAAGAGAGTGTGAGAAAGCAGTGAGATGCTCAACTCATTCTACAGTGTAGATAATGCAAAAAAATAAATGTTAGGCAACACCACCATCTGAATCACTTTCTCGTCACTGAGGCACAGTACCCAACACCCACAAATTAAAGGAGGAGAGGTTTATTTTGGTTCACAGTTTGTAGATGGCTCCAAGACACAGAAGCATGGCATAGGGGCATTGCTGAGAAGCAACTCATGATGTAACAGGCAGGAATCAGAAAGCAAGTGAAGGGAGGCATCAAGAAGAGATTAAACCTTTCACCCAGTGCACCCAGTGACCCACTTCCTAATACCAAATCAACTACAGTATCACCAGTGGACACTAACGAGTGTCACGCTGCCAAGATCCAATCACCTCCCCAAACCTCCACCTATGAGTGCATGAGACTTTGGGGGGGACATCTAGACCTAAACCATGACACAGCTAACAGATCTGCTTCTCCTAGAGAAGAATAAGACAGGAATGGTGGGTGACAGATTTTCTTTATCCATGTTCCAAGTAGAGCTAGATGGAAGAGAAACCTGGAGCAGAGCTTTTACAAAAGCCCTAAGTCTTGAGGAAATAGCCACTGTTCCATTTCTCCTTCCAGATTTCCAAATTCTGTTTCCCAGCATGTCATCATGGGAGAGGCCAGTATTGGGAAGACAGAAATTCCCAGTTCCCACAATTTACAAAGATTCAAACTGGTAATGTACAATTCCCAGAAAGGACTTTTTGAAAAACCTTGCTTGTTTAGCTTTCTAGGTCAAAGTCAGGTTAATATTCCCCGACTGACCACCATGATTGGAAAAGTCTGAGCAAGAAGCATAAGGATAAGCATTTTGCTTTTATTGATTTCTGCCTCACCAATAGTAATTTTTGGGCCTTGGCATAAGTGTAACTGAAGGAGGTCAGACAATGAAGATTGCTGGTTTAGTTTGCTCTTGATAATGTCAGAGTGAATGATACTATTTTTTCTCAGTCTATCAAGTGTAATAATACTTCTTCCTCTTCCTTTCTACCAGGTAACACACAGAATTGAGATTACCATAGAGAGAATGTCCAAAAGATTATGAATTATTCATCTCTTTTAATACAACAGCCAAAAGAAACTAGTATTGGCTCACCATTTGACCAATGATGAAAAGAGAACTCAAGTACTTAAAAATTTCCCTTCATTCACCATGTAACTAGAAGAGACTAGATTCAAATCCAGGGTCCTTGGTACTAAGTGTCCTGAACCCAGGTACACGCATTTAAATTCATGTTATATCTCACATTCTTTCATCCTTGCTTTATATTTAAAGAGCTAAGCAGAAGATGTTTTTAAATGTTGGGTATTAGGAAAATTTTAATTTTCAAGTCTCCATACCCTGTACCTCTAATTACTATTGATAATGCAGCATTAACTTTATAGAGTATTTTGGTTGTCTAAAAGGAGAAAACAATGTAACTTTTAGAAATAAAACAGATATGAGTTTAGTGTACTTTTTAGAGGGCAGAGAGAGGCCAATTGTTTTATCTACATTCATTCTAGAATCAAGGGCCAGACCTCTAGTAGAAAAATTAATCCTATCATCCATTCAAATAAATGCAGTCTTTCATGTTCAACTCTATACACATACAAACAGAATGGATACAGAGATCATCTTAAGAAAGCTAGGAAAAGATAGAGCTGTTTAGTGCATGTGTTAGGTTACACCTAAATTTGAGGATATAGAAATACAAATCTTTTTGACAGAGGAATTTTAAAAATCTAAATCATAATGTTATTTTTTCCTCCCAAGAAAAGCCAGGAGATAACTGGGACATGAGGCGAGTGGTTTAGATTTCCTAATCGCGTGCCGTTATGCGAAGTAGTCATTAGCCTTCAGATTCTGCAAGAGATGAAGTGATTCCTTTGCTATGTGATTTAGAAGCCTGGGCTCTGTATTTTCATATTAAAATAAAGACTAGGAGTCTAAACTTCAACCATGTCTGAATGCTTGTGGGCTGTTTTCCCCACAACCAACAACCTTGTATAAACTCCCAACTTTTAAACTGCTAAAACCATGGAAACATTAATAATGGCCTTCCTTCATTAAACCTCAACTTCCCTCCCACTTGTACTCCTGACCAATTTACTCATTCACTTCAAAGCAAGCAACAGCATGCACCCTGTTCAGTTACTCAGCAGGGTCACTGTGTCTTCACCCAAAACCTTCAAACACAGAACAGCAAACTCACAAAAATCTTCATCATCTCCACACTCCTCCTCCTGCATTAGCAGCAACTATATAACCTCAAGTTTTTTGCTTTACATTCCATTTTTTTAGTTCCATCTATATGGAGTAAATACTGGCTTTCCAACACACAAACACGCACACACACACACACACACACACACACACACACACACACACACACGTATGTGCAGCCTGGAATACTACAAAGAAAAAGCATATATACATGCAGTAATTAAATGTTCAAAGAGGCTAAGCAAATATTAGGTAATCAATGTATAGTTTTCTACATGCAAAAAAAAGAAGGCATCTATTTATTGCCCAAAAAACAGCATTTTCAGCTGAAATAATAATTTCCTCATAATTCAGTATGTGTCAGACACTATGGCCCACATAGTTTTTCTACCATTTCTTTCCAATATAAAGAGTATCAACTGATGTCCAACATAATAACAATTTTAAGTTTGGAGGAATGTGGGACTGTGGGACTGTGGGACTACGGTTTCTTCTATTTAATTTTCCTGAAAAAGAGAAGTATTTTTACTTTGGCTCCCCTTTAGCTAATAGTTGTGATTCTTGCAGTTTTCACACTCCCAATCTGATTCCTATGGATGCTATGTATAAAATTCCTGAAGAAATCTGTATCAATAGTGTAACATTTAAAAATAAAATGGTAGGAGGTATCAGAGCAGAACCTTAGACCAGACTACCACCAACAGTCAGTTGATCACTGAACATGGCAACAAGTACTAGTAGAATTTCCAGAGAGCTGGCCCATCCCATCCTCCCACACTGCCCCCTTACCCACCTTGACACTGCCTATCAATGGTAGAACCTGGGTAGTTCCAAGACCACTCCTGTATCAGTGCAGCATGTCCTACAGTCACAATGTTGCCTGAAGGAGTTGGGTAAGATTTTGGCTCTGGTCTTGTGGCCTCATCTGACCCCATCTTTCTGTGTATCAGTCATCTCCTGGAAAGGAACATTTCCAAGTCTCTTCCACATCATCAGTAGGAAAAGAATGTGCAGACTCTGAGTATGAAGTGACCTAGATAGAAAAAAAAGGTCTTAGGAGGTGAGACTGAGGGGTGAGGAGGTACAACGAGATACTTTCACTCTGCCAAATTCCCATTCCTCTTTTGGCTGCAGGCAATGCCAGAAGAGAAATTCAACAGGAGAAACAGCTCTTCCTCTTTCTTTCTGCCTTCTGGTGGATATGTGTGAATATCTCCCACCTCACATAGAGATCCTGGGAGATACAGAGACTTGTCTAACTGCAGGAGCCTTACCATAAATGTTAGGTGCCTCTGGACTCCCTCAGATGGGCATGATCAGGGACCAGGGCAGGGACAGGATGGACAGATGGAAGCCCATCTCATGACCTTTCCAGTAATAATCAGAGCTCTTGATGCTGCTTTCCAGAGCTAAGTGAGGGAAAATCTGGACAAAGAAGAAAATAAAAATGTTATCTTCCTGTCTTTCTCTGTATGCCGCACTACCCCACCCCTTGGTGCTACCTCAGAGAGGAGCAGTGTTGCACCTGGTAGGAGAGCGATCTCCAGGACAGGTGAGCAGTTCTGCCCTCAGGGGAAGAAGGAAGGATTGCTTGGGAGGATGAAATCCTAGCTCACAGGACTGTGGCCAGAGAACAGCCTGTAATTAAATGTGAACTTGCCAGGGGCTCTCCTAACACATGAAGCAAAAAGTCAATGTTTGATAGACTGGGACCCATTCCAAACTCCAGCTCAGGGGCCTCCCCATAGGAACTAGTTCAAACAAATGAGAGTTAATGAAACAATTTATATCTGCTACATGGAGGGCTGGGCTCACAGGTCAGACTCTGAATCGTCCATACTGCCATGCAGCTTTTTCTAGGGGACTCAGTGCTATTATCCGGATTTTAGTGTTTTATCTTGCCAATTAGGCAAAGTTGAGGACTACATTTTCTAGACGTTATGTCCTCAAGACCAAATATGTTAAGGATGCACTGTATATGAAAGGCAGCCACTAGGTATGTGTGGATTTTAAGCCTTTGAAATGGCAAATTGATACCTACCACAAGTTCAAAATGCAAAGGAGATTTCAAAGACTTAATGTGAAAAATACGGCAAAATATCTCATTAACTACTTGCATTCTTTAAATACTGAAATGCTAATATTTTAGACAGATAAAAATGTATTATTAAAAAGAACTTCCCATCTCTCCTTTTTTAAATTTCATATGTAATGCATATTAGGTTTATATTGAATTGCATTATTCTGGGTATCCTATAAGTACTGATAAATAAATGAACAACAAAATATTAAAAGGGTTGGCTTAAGATCAGTAATAATGTTTTTAAATAATACACAGCTAGTCCATCTGGATCATTGCTGTTTTTTGAAATGATTTTGATGTCTAGAGCTACATTTCATTCTGAGTCATCTACTGTGAGAAAATACTCATCCTGCAGGACTCCTAAAGAACAAGAGAAAGACAGATCATCAGCCAGGCCACACCAACAAGGCCAAACTCAGCCTTCAGTCTTTTGGTAGGGATTCAAGGCAGCACAAGGATGACTTGTACACACTGCAAGGAACTGTCACAGAGGCAAACCAGCTAACCTGAAAACCCTCAAAGCTTTTCAAACTTCTTTTCATCCTAACTATAACCTCCTCCATGTACATGATGGCTGTTGTGCATTTCGTAGAATTGTTTTTAAAAATACATAGTTACCAACAGTTAAAGAAGAATTAATGTCAATATTTCACAAATTTAAAAACAAAACAACAGTTAAAGAAGAATTCTACCAACAGTTAAAGAAGAATTAATGTCAATATTTCACAAATTTAAAAACAAAACAAAACTGAGCAGGATGTAACACTTCCTAATTCATTCTCAGAGACCTGTAATACCAAAGCCAGACAAAGATACAATGAGAACAGAAGACTACAGAACAGTATCTTTTACACATGCTTGTACAAAAATCCTAATAAAACACTAGAAAATTGTGCAAAATAGCATATTAAAAGTATTCTACACCATAACCAAGTGGATTTATTGCTGGAATTCAAGGATAGTTTAACATATAAAAATCAATTAATGCATTAAAGGACATTAACAGAATGAAAGAGAAGATCTTTTGCAAAAGGGAAGGGAACCAAGAGATAGAAAGAGAAGAGACAAAGAAGAGGAAGGGAAGTAAAAATAACTAAGATGTGTTATGTAAATGTACTAACTCCATGAAGAATATAATCTATGTACTATGTATTAGTACACAGTACATACTATGTGTGTACACAGTACACAATAATACTATGTATTAGTACACTTATGTACTAATACAAATAATTTTTTAAAAAAGAAATGACTCAACAGAAAAAAATGATGAAGGATAAAAATACATGATCATTTCAAGTGACACCAGACAAAAGCTCTTAACAAAATTCTTGATTAAAATACTCAGTGAACTAAGAAAAATGGAGTACTACTTAAACAGTAGAAGACGTAGTAAAAACCTATCATGAGCATCATATCCCATAGAGTCAGATGGAAAACTTTTCTAAGATCAGGTACCAGGCAAAGATGCTTGTTTCACTGCCCTATTCAACATGTTTCTGAAAAGTCTAGGTACAGAAAACAAAGGGGCATCCAAATAGCAAAGGAAGAGGAAAAGCATGTTTTCACAGATGGCATCATGTTACATAAAGAAGTCTTTAAGGCTATACACATACACACATACACAATTTGAATATATGAATTCAACCAAGTAATAGGATACAATGTCAATATAAAAATCAATTGCATTTCTCTATAGAACAATGCAAAAATCTCAAGAAATTACAAAAATAATTCCATGTTCAGGGGTATCAAAAATAATAAAATACTTAGAAATTAGAGAGGTAAAAGATTTGGAAAATGAAAACTATAAAATATTGATAAAAGAAACTAAACACATAAATAAATGGAAACCTAACCCATGTTCAAGAACAAAAGACTTAAGTTTTCTCAATACTACTTACTCAAGAGAAGCTCTAGACTCAATACAATCTATATAAAAATCTCAAAGATGATTTTTGCACAAATAGAAAAACCTATCCAAAACACTCTTGAAAGAAGAAAAATCCTGGAGGATTCAATTCCTGGCATCAAAACTAACCACAAAACCTCTATAATCAAAACAATGTGGACCTAGCAAAACACCGTCATTTACATCAAGAGAACACAGTACAGTGGAGTTATCAATCTGTAGATGGAGTCAAACAATTACTAACCAGGGTGTTAAGACCACTTGATGCAGAAAGGACAATCTTCCCAATGATGCTACTGGGAAGACTGAATATCCACATACAAAAAAAAAAAAAAAGCCAGAGTCAGATCCTTAATTATCACTATGGACTAAGGCACATAAAACAAAGATTTAAAACTATGAAGCTCTTAGAAGAAAACATCGAGTGGAATTTTTATACCACTAGAACTGGCAAATATGACATTAAAGACATAGGTAACAACAACAGAAATAGAGAAATTGTACTTGATGAAAATTTTAAAGTTACCCATCAAAAGACTGCATGAAAAGGTATCACAAGTAATGGAAGAAAACATTCACGAATCATAAATACTATGCAAATTTGTGTACTTCCAAGAAGACGGTAGAGTAATAAGCAGCAGAGAAAGAGCCTCTCTGAGATCTGGTGAACTCTGGAATACAGCCATGTGAGGAGGAGAAGAAGGATGGTAGCAGGTCCCTTGGACCCAGGAAGGGTAGAAGTGAGAAGCCCACAGAGAGTGTAAAGAGAAAAACTTCAACAAATAAGGAGGTGGTAGGCCTTCTTCCTGAGTGAGGACTCACCGTGTGGGAGAAGCAGTTCAAACCTGCTGACATATGGTGACTGCTGGCAGCCTCAAAGGTCTCCACAGAGATGCAGCAGTGCAACACAGCCATGAACACCAGGGACTGCACTGACTAGTCAGTGGGATGGATTTAGCCGTCCCAAAGGAAAGACAATTGGCCAGAAGACTTGTTGGAGAGGGGACAAGTGAGCTAAGAACTCAAAAGAACTGCTGGCTCCATCTAGCAGCTCACAGCTGAATTCAAGCCTGAAGAAGGTACACTGACTATTGCAGGCTGAACAGGTAGAGTTCCAGTCTCACGACCAGGATCCAGCCTGAACATCAGATGATATTAATGTGCAGGCTCACTGAGATTATCCACTACCTTGCTGTAAAGCTACTGATGGCTTGCTAGGGCAATTCAGCGTAGACCTGGACTCTGTCTTCACATGCTGTCTACTAGTGACAGCAGAGACAAATCTGGAAGTGTACATATTTTTTGTTTCTCTCTCTCTTCTTTTGTTCCATTTTGTTTCACTGTTTGAGCTTGTTTTATAAATGTGAATGTGGTTTCTAGTGGTTTTTGTGTAATTGTTTTTGTTGTTGTTGTTGTTGTTGTTCTGTTCTTCATTTTATTTCTCTTCTCTCTTTCCCTCAGGACTTCTGTACCAGTTTCCCAAAGTTTGGGTGATCCTCTTTGGTCCTCTAGTCTTGTTTTAGTCTCTTCCTCTTCTTCTATTTCTCTATTTATTCCCCTAACCCCTTTTAAAATTTCTCCCTTGAGAGTAAAATTGGCAATGCTGAGGGCTTATTTACTGCACACAGTTTTCTGGTTTGTTTTAGATTTTGTTATGTAACCACAAATCTAGTTTATGTGGTTAAAGGTGCAAAATAATAGTTATCTCAGTTTGTCATTTCCTAGGCTGTGTTTCATGCTATTGGTATTGCTTATTGCACGACCTTAGCCAAAGTGACATAATTGTTCTAACCAGCTGTTCTTCCTGGTATGCCAAGACAGATACTGCCTGACAATCATAAATAATACTGTGGGCCACTGCCCCAAAACCAGGGGTTGAGCCAAGGCTGCAACGTCTCACTCCCAATAAACTGAAGAGTTATGATCTTGCAACAGACCCAAAACTGAAAAGCCAGCTATATCTAGAAGACACTTTTGAGAAGCAATCATTCATTAAGGGTTCTAAATACTAGCAATTCAATTACTCATCATAGGTAATTTATAAGCATCAACTCAGGAATGAAACTAAAAATAAATAAATAAATAAATAAATAAATGAAAATAAATTTAAAAAAGAGAAAAATGCAACCCCAGACATCCAGGTCACCAAATGCAAACCTAGGGGACAGTAAGGTGGGACAATCCAAAAGCCACCCACCTACCTGGCCTTTCTAGAGTAGTAGCAAAGCAAATGAACAAGGTTCTAGAAAAAAAATCAAATTAAAAATAATTTCTCGTATAACTTTACGGATAGTGGTCACAATGGAAAACATGATTAATGACTCTAGCGCAGACATAGATTTTTTTTAAAGTATGAGAAGCTTAGGAAAATGATGGAAACCATGAACTTCCAATATAGGAAAGAAATGGAATCCATAAGACAGATTCAAGCAGATTTCTATGAGATTAAAAATTCCCCTGAAAGTACCTGTAGCAGAATAAACCAATGTGAAGACAGAATCATGGATAGAGAAGATAAGCTTACACTTGGTGATCATGAAAGGAAAAAGTTCTTAAGAATATAGTGAATTATATTAAAAATATATAAAAATACCTCAAGCAACATAAATAAAAAATGGGACAAAGAATTCACAGGCAGTTCTTCAAAAAATATGCAGATTAAAAGATACTCAACATCTCTAATTATTTAGGTAAATATCAATCAGAAGCACAGTGAGATATTACCTTACACTCACTAACATGTTTACTATTACTAAAAAGAAAGCAAAATGCTTGGGAGCATATGAAAATAATGGAACCCTGTACAAGATGATAAGAAAGTTTTCCACATCTACTGTGGAAAGCAGGATGGCAGATTGTCAAAATATTAAAAAAAAATTTAAACTAGCAACATTGTATGATTCAGCTGCACTCACAAAATGTACAGTATTCGAAAGAATTGAAAGCAGAATATTGAAGAGATATTGCACATTCATGTTTATGGCAGCATCATCCACAAAAATTAAAA